TGTCGTCGTTGATCCGAGCGGGCGGAATGACAGCGTCGGCGTTCTCGGGGACATGAGGCCTACCGGGGCCAGCAAGAATTCCCCCAGGCTGCCTGCAGTCGTCGCGGTGGGAAGCGCCGAGAGCGCAAGCCGGGAGGCATTGGGGGGAAGCGCGTGCACGGGCGGAGGCCTGGGGGGATTCCTGACCAGTGCGACCGCCTGAACGTTGTCGCAGAAGGTGCGATCCGCTGATAGCAGGTGGCCGTCCCTCTCAGCCGCATCTGTCCAGCAAGAGGCGCAGAGCCATGTGCAATCCAACCCGTTGGCGCGCGCCTGTGGGCGGTTGGTCGCAAGATACGACCTTATGCCATCGCCAAGCCAAGTGCCCTCGAAGTGCTGTAGGGGGGGGGGGGGGCTATGGCATACGTCGCACCTGTACCTGGCTGCTTTCCGATCCGCGCTGAAGCGAATGTCGTCCGAAGTTAGATAGGGTGGGATCACAAACGCTGGGGAGCGAAGCCGGTGGCAGCGCTCTGTTCAGGGGGGCGGGACCGATTGAGAACCCTCCGCAACGGAAGGTGACCTCGGAGGGGCAGTTGTCTGGCCCCGGGGCGCGATCATTGCCTGTGAGCTCACGGGGCGAAGCGAGCAAATACTACACCCTGTGTGTGAGAGGGCACTGATGTCGGCAGGCTTCACGACCTCTTCTAGGACCAGCATCGGGGCTTTAAGCTTGAAGGGAAGGATTCCATGCCCGCGTAGGTGATCGGACAGTGGGCAGCCTTCGCGACTGGGTGGTGGTGGGCAGTGGTGACCAGCTTGGCTACCAACCCAATCAGCCTCTCCAATTTCCCGTGGAGCTGGTGTAAGTCGGATAGCTGGAGCCCCCAGGAACAAGCGAATTGCGACCGGAAATGCAGTGGTGACCGTTCTGCCACGGGCAGCAAACTCCGAGGATGGCCTCCAGGGTGTCCCCGGACCCGGAAGGGTCAGGGAAGGGCCACAGGTGAGTGCGAGGGTCGCGCTTCGTGAGCAGCATGATAAGAAGAGCGCAACGGGCCTTCTCGGTGGACATGACGCGCTGATTGGGGTCCAGCAATTCGACCCGCTTCTGCGTGGCTCCGTCGTGACCCTTCAGGAGGCTGACGAGGGTCTCGAAGTCGGGGTAGACCATGTGACGCGGGCAGGTTCTGGCCCCTTTGGACCAGGCGTTGGGGGCATGGTGAGGGAGGTCTTGGGGGGTGCAGCGGACTTTGTTCCCTGCTTAGGCTCTGCCTAGAAGGGTTCCTACTCTCTTTCTTAAAGGGGCCGGGCAGTGGAAAGCGCCCCGGGCGGTTCCCCCAGCATCCGCCCCGCGGTTCCCACAGTTACGTCCCCTTAGTTTAGCGTTGCTTATCTCATCTTAGCTTAGCCTAGCTTAGCTTAGCCTAGCCTAGTTTAGCTTAGCTTAGCTTAGCCTAGCCTAGCCTAGTTTAGCTTAGCTTAGCTCAGCTCACCTTAACTTAGCGCAGCATTATCATAGCATTAGCATTATCATTAGCACAGCATATCATAGCATAGCGTAGCATATCATAGCATAGCATAGCATAGCGCAGAATAGCATAGCGCAGCATAGCATAGCATAGCATACCCGGTGAGCGAATGCGAAAACATGCGTGTGTGTGTGTCCGTGAGCAGGCAAAGCATAAACAAAATCAAAAGCAAAAGCAAAATCACAGCGAGGCAAAAGCAACAGCAAAAGCAAAAGCAAGAGCAAAGGCCAGGCAATGCAAAACCAAGCAAAACCACTGCGAAAGTGTAGATGTAGATGTAAATGCAGCTGTAGGTGTAGGTGTAGATGTGGATGTAGGTGTCGATGTATAAGTAGAAGTAGAAGTAGATGTAGATGTATATGTAGATGTAGCTGTAAATGTAGCTGTAGCTGTAGATGTAGATGTAGATGCAGATGTAGATGTAGATGTAGATGTAGATGTAGATGTAGATGTAGATGTAGATGTAGATGTAGATGTAGATGTGGCTGTAGCTGTAGCTGTAGCTGTAGCTGTAGCTGTAGATGTAGATGTAGATGTAGATGTAGATGTCGATGTCGATGTCGATGTCGATGTCGATGTCGATGTCGATGTCGATGTCGATGTCGATGTAGATGTAGATGTAGATGTAGATGTAGATGTAGATGTAGATGTAGATGTAGATGTAGATGTAGATGTAGATGTAGATGTAGATGTAGATGTAGATGTAGATGTAGATGTAGATGTAGATGTAGATGTAGATGTAGATGTAGATGTAGATGTAGATGTAGATGTAGATGTAGATGTAGATGTAGATGTAGATGTAGATGTAGATGTAGATGTAGATGTAGATGTAGATGTAGATGTAGATGTAGATGTAGATGTAGATGTAGATGTAGATGTAGATGTAGATGTAGATGTAGATGTATGTAGATGTTGTAGATGTAGCTGTGTAGATGTAGAGCTGTAGATGTAGATGTAGATGTAGATGTAGATGTAGATGTAGATGTAGATGTAGATGTAGATGTAGATGTAGATGTAGATGTAGATGTAGATGTAGATGTAGATGTAGATGTAGATGTAGATGTAGATGTAGATGTAGATGTAGATGTAGATGTAGATGTAGATGTAGATGTAGATGTAGATGTAGTATGTAGATGTAGATGTAGATGTAGATGTAGATGTAGATGTAGATGTAGATGTAGATGTAGATGTAGATGTAGATGTAGATGTAGATGTAGATGTAGATGTAGATGTAGATGTAGATGTAGATGTAGATGTAGATGTAGATGTAGATGTAGATGTAGATGTAGATGTATGTAGATGTAGATGTAGATGTAGATGTAGATGCAGATGTAGATGTAGATAGTAGATGTAGATGTAGATGTAGATGTAGATGTAGATGTAGATGTAGATGTAGATGTAGATGTAGATGTAGATGTAGATGTAAGATGTAGATGTAGATGTAGATGTAGATGTAGATGTGTAGATGTAGGTCTAGATGGCGCTCGCTGTTGATGTTGATGTAGATGTAGATGCAGGTGTAGATGTTAATGTAGCTGTCGGTGTACATGTAGATGTTGCTTTCCTAGATGCTCAAGATCCTAGGTAGAGTCGCACTGGGATAATTTTGGGGTCTACGGGCAGCCCGCCCTTGGACCCCCTGTCTCGGGAGCAGTTCTTCGTCCGGAATTTGGCGAGCGGTGTCGGCCCAGGTCCGTGCCCGAGTCGGCAGGCCAGACCAGGGCGGCCCAGGTCACGTTGTAAACCAGATTGCCCGCGCCCAGCCCTAGGCCCACGTCGAACAGGGAGCCCAGGCGACTCCAGGCCCCCCCATCGAACTGCGCGGCGTCGGAGGGAGCGCCCTCCAGGCTGCACTTGCGGGGGCGCAGTCCTGCAATTAGGAAGAGGGCAACGAGCGCCCCCTCCAGACGGAGCCCGACGTCGCCCCGGCCCCGTTCGATCTCCACGGGGAGGTCGTACTGCGCGTCGAAGCACTTGGCGTGGAGGCCCCTCCTCGCCGCCACCTCCTTCGGGGCCCTCGTTCTGTCGTCGTTCGCGCACTTGGTAGCGAGGGTACCGCGGCACGGCTGGACCCAGGAAGCCAGGTCGTCAACGGGGTTGAAGGCGCCGTCGGCGAGTAGCTCGCTGCCGTTGCCTGGACTCTGGTCATGGGGTGTGAGGAAACGCACTCAAAGTCCTGCGTGGCGGCCGTAGTTGGAGAGCAGCCGGAGCTTGGAGTCGGCCATGGAGGGCATCACGCGGCCGTCGGCGATGATCACGATGACCCGCCTAGCCCGCGTCAGTCCCACGTTGGCTCTATTGGGGTTGTCCACAAAGCCCCACACGTGGTCAGAGTTGGACCGCGTGGCGAGGAAGATGACCAGGTCGGCTCCACCACCCTGGCTGGCGTCGACTGTGGAAATGGTGAGAAGCCCCGAGGCAAGGCACTGATAGGCGACCTGGCGGATGCCGGGGAAGTCCAGGTCCAGGCCGTCGGCACCGCTAGGCCATTGGTTGAAGGCAGACCCTTGGCCTTGTCTCTCGGAGATGTAGCTGGGATCCCAGGGGTTAGGCAGTGAGTCGGCGCACGTAAAGGTCTGAGACGACGCCGCGGGGGAGCTGCTGCGCTGGGGGGTTCAGCGGGCGCAGGGGTGCCAGAGGCGCCGCGGCGGCGGCGGCTGGCGACGCCGGGGGAAGAGGCGCGCCGCGGGGGCAATGGAACAAAAAGCGGGCGGGTGTCGGGAGGGGGTGCGTCGGTATATATGTCGTCCCTCATGGCTATCTGCCGGGCACGAGGGGAGAGTGGTCAGCAGTCCTTGAGGATTCCCTTCTGCAGCCTGTAGGGGGCGATGACCTTGACAGAGAGGCCTTGGGCCATCTCTGGTAGCAGCGCCCGAAAGAGGTCGACGGTCACGGCAGCCTCAGGGAAGTTGGCGCATCCTTCGGCGAGGTGGGACGTCAGCTCGTAGGACTTGTTGTCCACCAATAGGGTACGATGTACGCCTGGGATGGGAATAAGGTGGGGCACGGGTGCATGCGGTAGATGTGCGCAAGGGCGATGCAAGCGCTGTCTTGGTCGTCGGGTTGATAGCCGAGGGAGTCGAGTAGACGCTGGAAAATGGACAAGTGGAGCCCCAGGTCAGCAGCCTTCTTGGATAGCACCGTAGAGGGGAGTTGCTGCGGGTCGCCGACGACAGCGAGACGGCCCCCACTGCGGATGACGTGCACGATGGACATGGCCGCAGTCACCTCGCTGGCTTGCCCGGCTTCGTCAACGATCCCGAGTGGGATGTGGATTGAAATCTTGCCGCTGAGCTCGGCGGCCGCTTCGTGCGTCGCGTTGGTGGCGGCTGCGTGCTGCACCGCGTCCTTCTTGCATTTGTCGAACGCCGCGCTGTCTCCGAACTCCGGGGGGGGGGGGGGGGGGGGGGCAGGCGCTGAAGTAGTGGCCCTCCGGGGCGAAAGGGATTAGATTGCGGTCAACTGTTTCCTTCTGAGCGAGCCGCAGACGAGCGCGAGGATGCCGAATGTCGCCCAAAGGTCCTCGTCTTTGGCAGCGAGGGCCAGGAGGGGTTGGTCGGTGGCAGTGTTGGAGCCAGAGAAGACACCGACTGCCTGGCCAGCGCACGGCGCGGAGATCCACGCTGCAATCAACGCAACGACTGTGATTGACTTCCCGGAGCCAGGGGGCCATGCACCAGGGTGACGAAATGGTTGTTGCACGAATGTAGGACCCGTCTGGAGAGGTCGCTGAGGGAGAGGACTGTAGCGGCGCGGTCGAGCTGAGTGACTGTTAGCGCAGTCCTGGGGCGCTGGAAGACCGTCCCGATGCTCTCGTCGACGTCGTTGGTGGTGACCGCTGGAAAACCTTCAATGTCGGGGAGGGCGGTGTCTGAGGTGTCGGGATCGTGGATGGCCGCGCCCAGGGTAGCAGCCGCGCGGCGGCGGAGAGCTGAGCCGATGCTGCGCCCGAGCTGCACCCTGTGGGCCGCCTGCTTGTCAGCGACGCTGGCGCCCCTGAATGGGGAGATAAACGAGGCGGCCGGGAGGGGGCCGCCGAACCGGTCCTGGGGGTCGTACCCCTTCTTGTACATTTCCTCTACGGCTTCATGGGTCTTCCAGCACTGCACCTCGGGCAGGGCCTTGTCGAGTCGGCGCATCGGAAGGGAGGCCTGGCCGGCGGGGAGACCCTCGTCCAGGCCGGGGTTACAGAGGCCGAACTTCTCGCGACTGTACATGGCGAGGCACGTGTTGGAAGGGTACTTGTAGCCCCTGTTGACGCCAATGCATTTGCATTCAGCGTCGGAGAGCGGGCTTCCGAGCCCCTCCATTCCAGGCCACACCACATCGAACACCGCGATCTCGTCGGCCGACGGGCCCGCGGCGGAGGGGATCAACATCTCGAAGCAGGGGCCGTCGGACTTCTTATGCTTGATCGCGTAGTTGCGGCCCCAGTCCAGTAGGAAGTAGGCCCATGTGTCACATGGCCCGATCCTGTCTGAAATCTTGTAGACCTCGTAGCCCCCTAGGCGCGCGCTCTTCGCCAGCTCTGTGAACGAGACCTCGAGTGCGACGATTTGTCTTCGCCGGAGCTCGTCGCGCGTCTGCTGGGCCCCGTCGTCGCAGGGCTCGAGCAGGGCTCTGCTCTCGATCCACATGATCCGCTGGAGGCGCGCGCCACGTTCTTGGAAGGTTCGGGGCCAATCGGAGGGGGGGGGAATGGCACCTGTGACCTGACAGAAGGGAACCCTGACGAGCGTCCTCGCCCCACGCTTCGTCGCGGGGCGCTCGTAGAGCTGCCGGATCTCCGTTGCGGCTGCAAGATGGGAAGGGTCTGGCGACGCCTGTGCCTTGGCCCACGCCTGAGCAGAGGCCCCTGGGCTGCGCGGGGGCCAGCCACGCCTTCAAGACATTCCGCGAGGGGCGGCGGGGGCCGGCCCCGCGCGCGCGCAGGGGGAGCTGGCGTTCGGCGGCTAGGGAAGCGCTTCAGGGGGCCAGGGCGGGGGGTCGATCGGCGGCGGAGGAACGGGGTCAGGGGCGCGGGCCGTGGACGGGGTGGCACCGACGGAAGGGGAAGCGCCACCGTGCAAAGGGCGCGCCGTGAAAAGGGTCGCGGGTGACACCGGGGTCGACCTTCGTGCCTGGGGGCAGACGTAGTCCTGAGGTGCGTCGGGCAGGGGGTTAGCTGAGGGGTAAGAGGCCCCAGTCCTCAAGAAATTCGATGCCCCGCAGGTGCCTTATGCCACCAACCATGTAAGAGTCGGTGCGTTGCCAACCCTTCCATTTTAGGCGCTCCACTGTCTGCTTCGTGACCTGGTCGTAGTTCCCTCCCTGCGTGCGGGTCCACATATTGCCCGCGCCAGTGTATGTTTCAGGGTCAGGCCAACCGCATTCCCGCGTTCGTAGAAGCTCGGTTTGATAGGTAGCGTCGGTGAGGTGATCCTCCCCGCCTACTTCTTTCCGGCAGGGCTCGCAGAAGAAGCACCAGTGTCCGTTGAAATAGACCCAACGAAGCCAGGGGCAGAGCCGGGCGACAAAGAGGCGGACTTCAGTGGAGCCTTCGGCCAAGAAGGGTTCGGGTGCACACATATAGCAGCTGGGCCAGCGGGTAAGTGGCCGTTGATGATCTTGCCGCCCATGTAGTCACACTTGTAAGGGAACCAGAACCAGCACCTTAGCGTCCCGGACGGCAGCCATCGGGGCGCGCGCGGCCCGATTGCCCCAGCTGCTCGACTGCAGCGGCGACGGCATCGAAATCGAAGAGGTCGATGGAGACAGGGAAGAGGGGAGGTTGAGCCAGACACTGTAGGAGGTGAGCCGGTCGTTGCCTTCCCTCCTGAGGGCAGCCGGCCAATAGACACCAATAGTGGCAATCTGGTCGGCGGCTTGGTTGAACCGCCGACGAGCAGCTTGCCACGCCAGGGTCCAGCAGGCCTCTCCGGCTTGCCAGAGGGCCAGGTCCATCTGTCGACACAGTGTAGCATGCGGTACCTACCCGCTCCTGCGCCGCATCGGACGGCGGCAAGGTTGTCTCCGACGACCCTGGCAGCCCGAACCGGGCCCGGGACGTGGGGAAGGAGGGCAAGGCCAGCTCTGCAGCTGGCAGCCTCCGCAATCTGGGCATCGTCACAGCCTGGCAGGGCAAGCACTGTTATCCCCGCGAGTTGCGGGGCAACACGTGGGGGGTTGTGGCGCCAGAGGAGGGCGCCAGCACCAGCGACTCTCTGGTCGCCGTCTGCTGCGCGGGCGGCCGTCACATGTGATCTCGCAGGGCCAACAGGCGGCATCGACCGAAGGGGAAAGGGGCGCGACGCACGGTGACTTCATCCCCCTGCTCCAGGTCGCGCGCTGCAGAGAGGAGGACGTGTGGGAGTTGCATGCGGGCCGAACCTCATGGTCCACTGCGCGGATGGCTGACTGGATGGGCGCGGACAGGGGAACCAGCCCCGTCCGGGGAGGAACCACCCGGCACATGGGTCGTCAGCTTGGATGGCAGTGAGGTGGGGGCCGGCGCGGGTCCACCTTGCGGCAGTAGGTAGCCGCCCGGCGTCTCCCCCGCCTCGGTCCGCGGTCCGCGTCTGGCGCGGGCGGGCTGCACGTTGCACGATACCCAGCTCCGGGGGATTGGGGTTGCACTCCGCGCAGCGGGTTAGGAGGGGGCTCCAAACGGCCATCTCGCGTTGCCGTTGAGGCCTGTCTACCGAGGGGCTCTCTTCGGCTTCTTCGTCAAGGTGGGGGTCTTCGTCCGTAACCGAGAGACCCTGAATGATGAGACAGGCGGCCTCTGTAGGGTCAAGGGGAGAGTCGTTGAGGCTCGCACAATATTGGTAAGAGACTTAGTGAACGACCAGGGCGGCCAGCGCCTGGTGCGGTCCGTCTGCAAGCATGGCGGAGCCAACGTCTTCGGGGTGACCCGCGGACTTGGTCGGTTGGCAGGCCAGTGCGACAGCTGTGCACCGCGTCCAGAGGTGCTCAGTGGTGGCCTCCCCAAGCCCACAGAGTGGGCAGGGGCCGTAGATCCCGCGGTTCGGTCCGGGGCGCCGCAGGCCCCGCACGCGGCCCCAGCCATTGGGAGCCCACGTCGCCCAGCAGGGCGACCTCCTGGCGCATTGGCCCCCTGGCGACCTGAGCTGCGGTCGCCCATTCGAGAGGGGCAGCGCAGAGCCTTGCCAGGGCATTTGCGGCCGCGTGCACATCCGCCTCCCTGATGGGGAGGGTGGATTGGGCAGTGTCGAGGTCAAAGCTGATGTTGTCGCTGTGTTCCACCATGTATATCCGTCCCCCGAGAAGCTCAGCGACGAGCCAGGTAGCGGTGTACTCCACAGGCCCAATTTGGCTTTCGCAATGGATGTGGCAATGTATGGGGGCGCCCCTGTCAGCCGCCCTGGCCAGCTGCATGACGATGGGGGGGGCTGAGTCCGCCCAAGGGGAGCAGCGGGGCAGCTCTTGCGCACGACCGATCGCAACCACTTCGGACCGATCGTAAACCACTTCGGACCGATCGCAACCAGTTGCGATCGGCCCGAAGTGGTTGCGATGCGTTTGGGCCGTTTCAATAAGGTTTTGGGTCAGGGAGAAATCATAAGAGCGTTTCCAGATTCAATGAGTTCCTTTAAGCCGCCAGAGAGAATGTGAAAGAGCGGTTGCGATCGGTCCGATCACAGACGGCCGATCATGATCTCAGCGAAACACATGTATTGGAGCTCGAGCGCGGCCATGATCCGCATGCGATTCCCATGTGATTCGCACGCGGTTGAAACCGCAACTGAGCGAAAACGCCTGGCGTTAAACTGATTGCATCTCAGGAGGGGGAGGAAGAGGAGGAGGAGGGGGAGGGGGAGGAGGGGGAGGAGGAGGAGGAGGAGGAGGAGGAGGAGGAGGAGGGGAGGAGAGGAGGAGGAGGAGGTGAGGAGGCGGAGGAGGAGGAGGAGGAGGAGGAGGAGGAGGAGGAGGAGGAGGAGGAGGAGGAGGAGGAGGAGGAGGAGGAGGAGGAGGAGGAGGAGGGGAGAAGGAGGAGGAGGAGGAGGAGGAAGAGGAAGCGGGGGAGGAGTGGGGGAAGGGGGAAGGGAGAGAGAGGAGGGGGGGAGGAAGGACAAGAGCCGGAAGAACAGGAGGAGCCTCTCAGAAGCCTCTCAGAAGCCCCATGAGAAGCCTCGCAGAAGCCTCGCAGAAGCCACTCAGAAGCCACGGCTCTCAGAAGCCGCTCAGAAGCCTCTCAGTAGCGTCTCGGAGGCCTCGCAGAAGCAGCTCAGAAGCCTTTTCAGAGACCGCGTAGAGGCCACGCACAAACCGCTCAGAAGCCTCGCAGAAACCGCGTAGAAGCCTAGTAGAAGCCTCGCAGAGGCCTCGCAGAAGCATCAGAATCATCGCAGAAGTTTCTCGGAAGCCTTTCAGAAGCCTCTCAGAAGTCTCTCAGAAGCTTCTCAGAAGCCACTCAGAAGCCTCTCAGAAACCTCTCAGAAGCTTCCCAGAAGCCTGTCATTAGCCTTTCAGAAGCCCCTCAGAATCCTCGAAGAAGCCTCGCAGACGCCACTCAGAAGCCACTCAGAAGCCTCTCAGAAGCCTCGCAGAAGCCTCGCAGAAGCCCCTTCAGAAGCCTTTCAGAAGCCTCTCAGAAGCCTTTCAGACGCCCCGCAGAAGCCTCTCAGAAGCCTCTCTGAAGCCTCTCAGACGCCTCCCACAAGCCTCGCAGAGGCCTCAGAGAAGCCTCCCAGAGGCCCCAGACAAGCCTTTCAGAGGCCTCAGCAGAAGCCTTTCAGGAGCCTCAGCAGAAGCCTTTCAGAGGCCTCAGCAGAAGCCTTTCAGAGGCCTCAGAGAAGCCTTGTTTCAGAAGCTTCAGAGAAGCCGTTCAGAGGCCTCTCAGAAGCCTTTCAGAGGCCTCAGAGAAGCCTTTCAGAGGCCTCAGAGAAGCCTTTCAGATGCCTCAGAGAAGCCTTTCAGATGCCTCCGAGAAGCCTTTCAAATGCCTCCGAGAAGCCTTTCAAGGCGTCAGAGAGGCCTTTCAAACGCTTCAGAGCAACCTTTTAGAAGCCTCAGAGAAGCTTTTCAGAAGCCTCAGCAGAAGCCTTGCAGAGGCCTCAGCAGAAGCCTTTCAGAGGCCTCAGCAGAAGCCTTTCAGAGGCCTCAGGGAAGCCTTTCAGAGGCCTCCCACAAGCCTCGCAGAGGCCTCAGAGAAACCTTTCAGAAGCCTCAGCAGGAGCTCTTGGATCGATTGCAACCCGGCGTTCTCCTGACAGGTTTGTATTGGAATCATGTAGGTTGCGATAAAGTCGTTTCTCGTGGTTGCAATCCGACCGAAGTAGTTCCCAGACAATCCGAAGTGGATGTGATCGGTCTTATTCCCGCTCTTGTACCCGTGGGTCGCGGGTCCACCAGGGCTCTCCAGGGGTGTCCCAGGCGGTGGCACGCTGGGCATATACCCGGAGTGAGTCGGGTCCCGTAGGGTCCATGTACCGCACCACGAGCCTTGTTCACTCGGCCTAAAGAAGTAGTCAATCTGGAGCCGTCTGGCCGCACGATCCCAAGGCCAGCAGGCCCCAGGCGCACCTTGCGCCGATAAGGCACATGCCAGGCAATGCCAGGATGCGCCACAGGGGGGGGCCATGCCGAAGTAAGGACGGGGGGGGGGACCGCAGGGATGGCCCACGAAAGCGGCCCGTCCCCAGTCTTCGGGATCGAGTGCACGTCCTGTCCGGCGCAGGGTACTGCCTGTGCCATGGGGCCAGGCCCATCTTGTTAAGTGCTCGTGGTCTGGGAGGTGGATAGTGCCTACGCCTCTGCGCTCTCGCATGAGTACGCTAGTAGCCCGGGCCACGGCACCCGGGCCCCATGGATCGACGCACCCGCAGAAGCGGGAGGCGGGCGGTGGAAGGACCTCCACGGGTGGAACGGGGCCAATCCGATCCTCAATCTGCCGTTGAGTGGGCAGAAAACCGCACTCTACCATGAGGAAATACTCATAAGTGGCAGCCTCTACCTCGGCGGAGGATCCATCCTCACACAGGTCAGATGGGGAGGGGTTGTCGCTGTCTGGATCGCGCAGCTGGGGATCGAATAGGATCGCCAGGAGTCTGAATGCGAGAAGTCGTGCGTGGCGAGGCCTTAATCCACCCAACCCGGCTTCGAAGTCGCAGCCGTTGGCTGACCAGGCTAGCCCTGTGATGTCAAGCTGGCAGTGGGCGCTAGCAATGTGCCGCGCTCGGGAGTCCTTGTCAAGGTCGAAATCCTGCCCGTCATCGCCAAGTGGACCTCCTGGGTCGCCTGGGGCGTGGAGAGGTCGGCGGCGCGCCCAGGCGTTGTGGAGGAGGATATCGAGGTTGCGCTGCCGGTCCGGAGTGCGAGCACGGGCCCACCCTCCGCCCAGCCAGGGACAGCCCGCTCGATCGGCAGATTCCCGCAGGTCCTGTAGGGGACCCCCGCGTCCTGTTCTGCGAGTCTCTTGGGCACGCGGGCCGTCCGTGGCCAGCTCCCTCGGTGCTCTCGAGGGGGAATCTGCCCGTCTAGCGGCTGCCCCCGGCACGTCCGGAGTTGCCCCCTCGCCCTGCTCGCCTGCAGTCCGTGCGGGAGGTCTGGGGTCTGTTTCCTGCCTGGGGTGCGGGACTTCGTCGCTGGTGGGAGGGACGAGAATCCCCCTTGTGTCGTGGCCTTGAGGCGCCCTCCCAGGACTGGGGACGCGTCGAGTAGGCGATATACCCCCTGTGGCGAGGTTGAGGTTTGAGCCGTGGCGCAGAGGGTAGGGGAAGGAGGTAGTGGGAGGCTGAGGAGGGATGGACTCGCGTCGTGATTCGCTCGGCACCGTCTCGGGATCCTCGCCCCCTCTGGTCAGCCCGGGCTCGCCGACACCGAGGCCAGGGGGGGGGAGACAGTCTGCCGCTGTCGCGGGTCAGTGGAGAGACCCCACGAATCAGCTGCGCCCCCCCGTTGGGGGCACCTCCAACACTATCTCTGTCCTGCATGCTGGTCCTTCGCGCGGCGTTGATGCTGCGGGACCTGGTGCGCCCGTCTCCGCCGGCGTTTGCAGCTCCCGCAGGAGGGGCGGAGTCGTTCTCCCTCCTGACCCAGGCTGAGTGGGACAGGGGCAAGGTGGGAGAAATCTCGTCGCCGTCCAGGTAAGGAGGACCCGAGATGACGTCAGGCGTGGCTGGGGGTCGGCTAGCAGCCGCAAGATGGTTGAGAGCGCCAGTGCCTGCCTGCTCGGAATCACCATCGGAATGCGGTCGCGTCGGCCTGGAGGCGGCAGAGGGGGGGGGGCCCGGGGCCCTGGGGTTCTCTTGGGTATGGGGCTCTTCCTGGGCAACTTTCGGGCTCCCTGGGGCCGTCTTGGGGCTCTGTTGGGTGCCTCTTCGGCGGTCTTGGGGCGGTCTTGGGGGCATCTTCTGCCGTCTTCGAGCATTGGAAGCTCGAGAGCGCGAGAAAGCGAAACACATCAAACAAACCAGTGCGAATCAATGATGTGGGCCTCTTTGAACTCTCTCGGGACGTCTCTCGGAGCTCTCTTGGGCCCTCTTGGAGGCCACTTGGGTTAATTATGTGTTTTCCGTCTTGAGCTCCTCTTGGGCCAAGCCGGGATCATCTGGGCCGTCCTGGAGCTCCTTGGGGCCCCCCGCTCCCGCTCTGGGGCCCTTCTTGTGCCTCTCCAAAGATTATCTTGGGCAATCTTGGGCTGCTTTTGGGCAGTCCTCAGGCTCTCCTGGGCCGTCTTGAGGCTCTTTGGGGGTCTCTTCGGCAGTCTTGGAGGCGATCTTCGGGGCTGCTTCGGCCGTCTTGGAGTGTTGGAAGCTCGACAACCTCGGACCTGATTCGGTCGATTCGTTAGGAAGGTCTGGGCAGAATGCCCTCTGCGGATGCGGGCGGGCCTCCTCCGGATCCGCGGGCGCCATGCCGCCGAACAGGGCGCCCATGTTCGGGGCCTCCGCTGGAGCAGGGGGAGGGAGGAGGGAGAGAGGACGGAGGACAAGGTAGGTGCGCTCGCATTATATATGACGTCCTACCCCTCCCTCCCATCCCTTAATTAGCATGGTCTAAGCGGACCTGGTGCTCCCTGAAAGACCCCTATCGCGTCGGTGTAAGCACCACCTGCACGCACAAGCTTCGGCGCCAGGACCACATGCGTGCAAGAACACGGCGCACAAAAACAAGAATGGGAGACGACAACAATTCAGACAAGAAACTGACGCTGCATCAGATCCGCAACTTCGAAGAACACGTCGTTGGGAAATGAGGCCACGGCTTTACAATGTAAGGGGTAAAATCGCGGGAAAGACGCCACGCATACAGCGACGGTACATTTCAGAAGGAGAAAGTCACAGCGGGACCTCTGTTTAAAAAGGCCTAAACGCGACAGCGGGCCCACCATTGACAAGAAACGCGAACGCACATACGAGGCCCAGGCCGCAGCGGAACGGTACAGCAAGACCACTACTCTGAAGGGCCAAAAAGACGCAGAGTGAGGTCAACGCAACAGCGGGACCACCATTGAAAACGACCGCGAACTCGGATACGAGACCAATGCTGTAACGGGTTCGCCAATTTGGAAGGACCAGGAAAACGGGAATAGTACCGACGATGTAGCGGGAGCGCCACTTTGGAAGAAGCACAACCGATCGAATTGAGAAAACACATGAGAAAAGCTCACCCCCGCAAAACATGTGTGAAAACCATACGCGGAGATGGGGGCGGCTACTCTCAGGGCACTCTGGACAGATTCAGGGGAGAGAGGAGAGTAGCATTCAGACTGTGCAGTCGTGGAGGAGGAGGAGGAGGAGGAGGAGGAGGAGGAGGAGGAGGAGGAGGAGGAGGAGGAGGAGGAGGATGGAGGAGGAATGGAGGAGAAGGAGGAGGAAAGGGGCCCCGGCGGGCCTCCAGCGGCTCGTCGCCGCCAGCCCGGCCCATGGCCCCTCGGCGCGGCGCGCGGCGCGCGCGCCCGTGCGCGGCGGCGGGCGAGCGCGGGCGGGCGCGCGCGCCCGCCGCTTGGGCGCGGCGGGGCCGTTCGAGCGCGCGAGGATTCCTGGGCCCGCCGGGGGCCGCCCGCAGGGCTCTGGGCGTCTGTCCGCCGGACGGCGCTCGGAAGCTCGCGCGCCGAAAGCCCCCCTCCGCGCGACAGGAGAGCAGGAAGCGGCATGAGCATGAAACGTTGAACGTTGGGAGGTCCGCGCGGTTCTCTTGGGTCGGCGGTGGGCCCCCTCCATGGCTTGCGAAGCGCACCAGGGGCAGGCGGAGGCCCAGGACGCCGCTCCTGGAGGACCTCTGGACACCAGAAACATGGATGGCTTCACTATTGGTCATTGTTTCTCGCTTTCCACGCTCTTGGGTCGAAGGCTCAAACTGGCACACTGGGGCCCCACGACCCCCCCAGGCGGCAAAGAGCGCCCAAAGAGAGCCAACGAGAGCTCCAAGACGGCCCGGGAGGGCCCCGAAGGAATCGCCAAGATAGCTCCAAGACAGCCCCAATTCTCCAAGACGGCCCGAACGAGCCCTCTAAGAGCCCTCGATAAGAGAAGATAAGGACGTGTCGCATGTGACGACACTCGGACTCACTCACACTCAGGTCCGCTCATACCCAGCCAAGTGATACTCAGACTCAAGCGCACGTTCCACTCGCAGAATGATCGTTCACACTCACAGTATGATCGACGCGACACAGCAGACTTGGCATTTGGGCACCCAAGGGGGACCACTAGTGTCGTAGAAATCGGGTTTCGGAACGAGATTTCGGAAGTTGCCTTGGAGGCTACCGGTGACCCGTTTTCTGTACTTCTATTTAGTGCTCGAGCTTTCTGTGCGCGGTTTCCATATCGAACTGGAGTTTGATTCGGCTGGTGAACCAGCCCCGGGCGCAAGCCACGAGGAAAAGAGTCACTCTCATTTCCGATATTCGTTTATCTGAAGTTGATTTCTTGGTCATCGACTATTTCAAGAACTCTGACGAGTAACCCCGTCAAGAGCAACACGAGATTGGTAGTGCGGAGCTTGGTTTCAGTGAACCTGACGAGAAATGGCGTCGTCGAGCACGGGCCAGAACGTAGATCTACAGAGGACCCCTACGTGGGATGGCAAGGCGGAGACGCTGGACGAGTACCAGGCCGAGGTGGAGCTTCTCACTCTCTCGACGAAGGAAGAGGAGAGGAGACTGCTCGGACCGCGACTAGTTCAGGCTCTGCCGAAGAATACCGCGCACAAGAAGCTGGCCCTGCGACTACCGCGAGTGGAGGGCGAGGCAGACTCGATCGTCGGAGAAAAGGGCCCCGACAACCTGATTAGGGCGTTTCAGAAAAGCCTAGGGAAGCAGGCATCGAGTGACGTGGTGGACAAAGTCTTCTCATACTACTATGACCGGAAGACGTCAGGACCACGCGTGAGGAGACTAGGCCAGACGATCGGACTCTACGCGGAGCAGGAGGAAGACGCCTACCAGGAGATGGAGAAGAATGTGCGGGCGATCTGTCCGGACCTGGAGGATTTGGATCTCATCCCCGACGAGCTGCGTGGCATCATCTTCTTGGTGAATGCGAACTTAGACCCGAGTGAGCGGGCCACGGTGGTGGCAGGACTACACGACTGGAAGATCGAATCAGTCATCGAGAAGCTGAAGTACGTGTGGGCTGACAAGGACCTGCTGGCGAGGGACAACCTGGTATCGCGACGTCGTGAACTACGAGTTCCAGGAGGTCGAGATCCTCGTCGGGAGCGGTCCAGGGTCAACTACCAGGAAGACGACATGGAGGAAGAGCCGAGCTACTTCGAGGAGGAAGTCGACGAGGTAGACGAGGCGGACATCCACTACGAGGAGCAGGAGTTCGACAAGGAGGACCTAGAGTCGCTGGAGGCCTACGCCGTGGACGCGGAAGTGTACGCGCAGGACGCTCACCGGACCTTCACAGAGGCTAAGAAACTGCTGGCGGAGGCGGCGAAGAACAGGAGCGGCTACTTTCCAGTGATCGGGATCGGCCAGATACCCGAGAAGCAGTTCAAGGATCAGAAGATTATCAACACGGCGAAGGCAGCGCTCAAGGCTCCACGACCACCAGCACCACAAGGAGGAGAACGACGAGCAGCACAGCCGCCACCAGCTCACCATGCAGCTCCGAGGAGACCCCCCAATGGTAAGGGCAAGGGCATTAAGTGCCTGATCTGCCAGGGACCTCATCGCGCCGTGGGCTGTCCCAAGCGAGGCAACACGGGCAACGACGGCAACAACATGCAGATGGCAGCCCAGGGCTTCGCGGACGCCGAGGACGACGACGAGAACAATTACGGCAATGAGGGGAACGCTCCTGAGGAGGGTCAAGCTGGTTGGGTACACGAGGAGATGATTGGATACGCCATCATCGACACGGGAGCCTCGAAGAGCATGATCGGGATCGACCTGGCTGCAGCCATCCAGGGCACCATCATCGAGGAGACGGGCGAGGACCAGGTCACCATGGATTACACGAAGAAGACGAAGTTCACGTATGCGGGCGGCGAGAAAGGCCAGTCCATCGGCAAGTTCGGCTTCGAGCACCCGGTGGCGCTGGTCGAGGACGACAACAAGCTGTGGTTCGACCTGGTCGAGACGAAGTCCCCGATGCTTCTGGGTCTGGACTACCTGGAGAAGGCTGGAGCAGATCTGATCAAGGAGAGGTCCGCCCTGGTCTTCGCCGACGGCCACGAGGAACCATTGGTGCAGCTGTCTAGCTCGCACTACGCTCTCCCCGTGCTCTGACGGGGCCCAGCCGCTGGTTGCGACAACACCTGCGGAGTGGGAAAAAACAAAAGTTGTCAGGATGATCCAGATCCCAGAGAGCCCGAAAGATCCAAGAGCCCTTCTCAGAACTTCAGAAGTCAGGTAAACACGAAAGCCTCGCTCCCTAATTCAAGGACCACTGCAATTCTACGAACACGCAGAAACTACAGACAAACAAAAACGCACTATCCGAACCGGGTGAACTAGATAGGGTAAGTCATGAACACCAGCATCATCATGGACTCGATAGGTCATGTCATGTACACCAGCATCCTCATGGACGAGAGAGAGCATGTCATGAACATCACCATCCGCAAATACTAAATAGAATCTATGACTATCATCTTCGGGAACGTGAAACGGAATCCGGATACGGTCTCGTGACTTCCGGGAAGACTGCGGCATCGGAAGTCTCGGGTGTGTTTGCGGTTCGTCTCGAAGATCAGGTGCGCCAATCTCCAACATCATACCCCCCGCCTCCAGAGCCTTTGGTGTCAAGCGTGCGCTCCGGGAGGAGCTTTCGTGATGAGCAGTCCGCAGGGGCCATGGGAGCCAGCGGACGTCAACGAGATCTCGGACGAGCAGTTCGAGGATTGGGATCTGGTGAGCGGCAGCCGCCCGCCCGACGCGGAGGCCTCACGCTCATCGGGGCAGCCATCGCAGCCCACTGCTGCAGCTGCAGCTGTGGACATGGATCCGGAGATATTCTTCGAGGATCTGAGGTGCCAGGCCATCAAACTGTACGCAGTGACCGACCCGGACACGATCGAGGAGCAGCGGGAGGCAGCAGCACGACAAGCAGCTCGGGACGGAACGCTAGCGGAAGCAGCGCGACGAGTCATGGCTGGCAACATCACGAAGGAGTGGTATGGCCTGCTCGCCGAGGTGGAGAACGCATTAATCAAGGACAACGGCCAGGGTATCCAGATCGACGCCGAGATCAGGGAGATACCGAGCGTGGCGCGCACCAAAAAGAGGACCAGCGAGAACAACAACTCGAAGGAGCACCTGCCTACACCTTCAAAACGTTACCGACATCCGGGGGACCGACCACGGAGATTCCGAAGACGACCAGCTTCAGCAAGAAGCTACCAAACAACGGGAAGGTGGACCTCCGGGGCTCGAACATCCAGAAAATCAACAACAAGAAGGCCAGCCATCAGGAGCCCGAGAGGGACCCAGAGAAGCACAGTACAGGACAGGCTGGACTCAACCGATGGCAGCGACTGGTGATGAGGATTCAAGCTCGACGTCGTTGGCATGCTCACGGTCAGCTCATGAAGTACAGCAAGAATGAGTGCCCGAAGAAGTTCAGCCCACCCACGGGCTTTGGTCGACATCTGGGCCACTGGGCCTGGCGGGAGATAAGCTACGAGTGGTAGGACAGCTCCCCCAACGAGTTCGTCAGAAAGCACTACTGGCCGCTTCACAGATCGACAAGAAGGGCACCAGGGAGCTCAACCAAATGACGAGAAAATACAGGACGGACTTGCTCGAGATATGCGTCCCACCGGACAGCACGCTGGGAGGCCAGGTGGAAGCAATGGGAAGCAAGGTGACCCGCATGGGCTTGTTCAATTTGTTCGACTTCAGCCGCAAGTCATCGGTCGACAAGGCGAAGGAGCATGTCCGTCAAGAACGACCTCGATGGGCGCATGCTTCACCTCCATGCACTCCATTCTCAGCGTTGCAGAACGGCAGGCCCAACACCGTCGAATCCCAAGAGAAGTTGATGAAGATGAGAAAGTGGAGACGTCGAGTCATGAGGAACGTGCTGGAGGTTCTACTCTACGCGTGGAGGCAGTTCGGCAGCGAGATCTCCATCGAGCACCCCCTCAACGCTAGCTCATGGAGGAGCATTCCGGAGTTGTTCAACGTATGGGAGCAGTTCTATGAGTCCATCAGCTATGGGTGCGGCTGGGGAATGAAGAGCAAGGTCACAGGAGAACTCATCAGGAAGGGCTGGCGCATCGTGACCACGAATCAGGTGCTGGCAGACCGACTCAGGAGGAGATGCACTCGCGATCATGACCACACCATCATCGAGACAGACCAGGTCAACGTAGGCGAGACGGCCAGGTACCCCCTCAACATGTGCCGCAAATGGGCTGCTACTATCATTGAGGTCAAATTCAGCTTCTTCGAGGTGCAGACGGCGTTCGCCCAGGAGGAGACCACCGAGATGAAGGACACAGAGATCGAAAAGGAGGAGTTGGATAAAGTGGATCCCAAA